CTGGAAAAGATAGTGGCTAGTAGGTCTGTGGTTTGTTACTGACCTCCTTAGCTAAAGCATCAGCGCTTTCATTGCCTTTGATGCCACAGTGAGACGGAATACACTGCCTTTTTTGTGTGACAACATAGCAAGTTCCTTTGTTAGCAGTGTTGCCACTTTAGGTGTTTTACATCCAGATTTAGATGTTTTCCCTTGCATTTAGATGGTATTTTTGACATTTAGATGGTAAATGTTTTTCCAGAAGTTTTTCATTTGGAGTTAGATATTTTTTTTAGTGTCAGTTTCATAATTACTGTGTAAAATATTTACTACAGTATTTTTGTTTTGGTCTGGCACGTACATTGTGATAATTGCAATTACTTAAACTTTGAACTCTCACTGGGGTCAACAAGGACCATCAGTGTTACTATGGTTCTGGTTCAACGCTCAAATATCTGGCAGCCCCGGGACTAATTAAAAGCGCATAAATCATACTAACTTTATTCAACCGTATCCTCACTGTGTTGACTTTATGTTTCTTTTTCATGTGATTTAAAAAAAAATAATTGCTCACCTTCTTATGTGGCTTTCACTTTAAAAAAAAAAAAAAACTTTCAACATGCCAAAAGTAAAGTATGAGTAAAAATCTCGGAAGGAGTGGCTGCAAGATGACAACAAAATTAAAGAGTGGGTAATGGCAGCTCCTGCGGATATGACCAAGGCGCGTTGTAAGTACTACAAGTGTGAAATTAAAGCAAATACAAGACTTAAAAAGAGTCACACAGAGACTAAAAAGCATAAAACAGCAGTTACTTTCAAAGATATTACACAGCTGACATCTGTTTTCAGAACTACACTGATAAATGAATCTTCAAAAGTTGAAGGAGATCAGTCGCAATGTTTTAAGTTGTCATTGTGTAATTTCAAACTGTGACCATTCGATTGATTTGTTTTAAAACACTAATTGTGACAGTAAAGTTATGGATATGATGTGAAAATGCATAGCAGCAAGTGTACACATATTATAAGAAATAATTTATTTTCTCACTTAAAAAAAGATTTAATCAGTGATATTTCTGCAAATAAATATAGTTTATTATTAGACGAATCAAATGATATTTCTGTACTGAAAGGGCTAGGTGTGTGTATTATTATATTACAGCAACAGTACAGACAAAGTAGTTTCTACATATCTTGGACTAGTTCAATTGAAAAAGTGTGATGCAGAAAGTATCGTTCAGGAACTGAAGAAACTTTTAATCAGCAAACAATTAGATTTGACGAATTTGGCTGCAATTGGTTCCAATAATGCCTGGTGATGGCTGGTATAAACATGGCGTTTATGCCAAGCTGAAGGAAGCTAACCCGTTGTTATTCTTTATAAAATGTATGTGTCATTCATTGCAGCTAGCATTATTACATGCTTCATCTGAATGTTTACCAAGGAATTTGGAATACCTTATCGCTGAAACACACAACTGGTTTTCCAAGTCATTTGTCAGACAACAGCAATACAATACATTATATACAGCCTTGAATAATGGTTCCACGCCATAGAAAATTCTGTCAAGATTGCAAACTAGATGATTATCAATCCAACAAGTGGTTGAAAGAAATTTGAACTAATGGTTGGAGTTGAAGACACACTTTGAAATAACAAGACAAAGTGAAAAGTGCTACACAGCTGAAATACTATATGTACAGTAATGATACAAATTTGGCATTCCTTCTCTTTTTACAACCTAATTTAATGGAAGTGCAAAAAATTAATAAACTGTTCGAATCTAAACATGTTGATAAAGTTAAATTACTTGACGATCTCACTTTGCTATTTCACTCAGCTGGTAAAAGAAAAATTTATGATTTAAAAACAAAAGGACTGTTCACAGAGAATAAAGAGAACAGCTCGAGAAAACGCTGTCAAGATTTCCTTCTCATTATTCAAGCAATTGAAGCAGAGACTTCCTGAAAATCTAGATGAAAAATTTTTCACTTTTCTGTGAGCAACATACTTCAGCCAGTAAAGGACATACCTAAATATTGTAAAGTTATGAAATTTTTAGCGGCCACTGAAATTGTGTCGCAGAAGCAGAATATTAGTTAAGGGGTCACTACACGGCATTTTTTCCAATTCATGACAAAAATATCACTTTTTCAATGTGTTCGTTTTTGTAAAGTTCGGCATTAGTAGAATAGATGACACACAAAATTTATGTCATTTGTGAACAATTTAGCATAGAAAAGTTAATACTAACGACACCTCCTCCTCGTGCACTTTTTTTAAGAGAAAAAAAAGTTTAAAAGTCAGTTTTCTCAAATCTCTGTATTTCAGTTTGCTGTGTGTGTGAAATCCTAAAATCTAAGCTAATATAAAGATTAGAAACATGAAATTTTGTATGCATACTTCGTAAACAATATTATAGGGACTGGTCTATATAAAAAAAAGATTTTAGAAAGTTTTTGTTTTTTAAAATTTGATTATTGTCTGATGATGCTAGATTTTTTTGACTTTTTCAATAAACCTACATTTTAAAATTCTACGAAAAATATTTGAAAACATGTTTAAAGTAAAAAAACTAGACCTGTACCTGTAAATAGGATAAAAAAATCATGAATCCATCATTTATTGTTGAATACTCATATTTGTTTTTAAAATTTTAGAATCCTAAGTACATATTGTTTTTTTCACAAGATGGCGGCTATTGCCATGACAACAATGATTTTTTTAACACTTACAAAGTATACAAATGTAATAACATGTATCCCTACAAATGACCATTATAAAATAATTGCTCTAACTCTGTAAATAAAAAAATAAATTTTTTTGGTGTAGTGACCCCTTAACCAAAATAAACTTAGCAGAATGGACAAACAAAACAGAAACTGAAGCGTTTTGGAGTGAAGTGAGACAATTTAAAGATGCCTTATCAAACAGTCCATTACGTAAGAGGTCTTTGAATGTGCTATGTCTGCCACGATACTTTCCCATTCAAATGCTGATGTAGAAAGTTTTAAGTGCTATGAATTATATCAAATCTAACCTAAGAAATAAGATGAATTTTGACCTCTTAAATGCTATCTTGACAACAAAATTCGGCCTGATGAGAGTAGGAAAAGGCTGTTCCACTTATCAGCTCCCTGACTGGGCATTAAAAGAAATCGGAACAGCTAAAGCATACCAGAGTCATTTTGGACCTGAAGCTTTAACTTCATCATCCAAGCTAAGTTTAACCTGTGATCTTGTGAGGGAGACTTCAGTAAAGATGAGGACATGATTCTATAGGGTAAGTCATATCAATTGCTATGTAATTTGTGACTCTTTCCATTTGGATGTTTTTTCTAGATGTTTTCCACGCAAATTTAGATGGTTTTAGATATTTTTTTTACTTCGTTCTGGATTTTTTTTTGGCCAAAGTGGAAACACTGTTAAACTTTCTAGCGTGCTGTCGGCAGGTTTGGACTCAAGGGCCTGTATAGCTGAGTCAGTGAGAAAAACTATCTTGCCTGCAGTGATTTGAAGATTGTTCATATAGGCACACTTTTAAACAATTCTGACATAATTTTCATGCCATGGAATCTCTCTCCTTTCCCCTCCAACGTTCCCACCGTCTCCTTCTTATGACATGACCAAAAAATGGATTCTCTCATGAACTCAATTCTTTTAACACATTGTCCAAGGTGTTATCTATAAAACCACATCTCCCACACAAATTTCCACTAATCAGCCAAGTTTGAAGATTTGAAGATTCACTCACTTCCATAACTTGGGATAAGATTTATATAGACTTGACAATCATCTTTTGAAATTAATTTTAAAAAATAAATAAATAAAAGCCGACAGCTGCACTTCTTCAGAACACAGCGAACCAGCCCCAGATTTTTTCTTTTGCCTGGCTGTACTAGACAAATGTACCTTCAGTAGCAAATAACAGAACAAGGTGGACAACTTGAAAAATATAACATTTATTCCAAATGAGCTTTGCAACACTAATCCATGGAATGATGATGGATGTTACAAATGTCACATGATGATGATGAGATGATCAGCTAACACTAGACCCATACAAGCACATACATACACACTTATCGTCCACATATGAGCACAAGTTTTATCACTCCTTCCCTCTCACACACATTTACAATAGCACTCTTGCCCTATAGCAAACTATAATACAGACTTCAGGAGAACCCACATATATGCATCAGTTGACATGCCAGAACAAACACGCGTGCATGTTCCACACCACACACTTGTGTACTAGAAAATAATTAACATAGTAGAACATTTCCCCAACAGGAAGTCACCCTCGCTGCTGGCATCAGGTTGAGTTCCAGTCCTTTCCTGGTCTCAGCTGTGGTATTAAGTGGTACTAGTGATCCAGTGTGTAGATGTACGGCAGCAACAAATATCTGAAGCCCAACACTGATGCACCAGACATCTGAAGCCCAACACTGATGCACCAGACATCTGAAGCCCAACATTGATGCACCAGACATCTGAAGCCCAACATTGATGCACCAGACATCTGAAGCCCAACATTGATGCACCAGACATCTGAAGCCCAACATTGATGCAACAGACATCTGAAGCCCAACATTGATGCACCAGACATCTAAAGCCCAACATAAGGCATCACCACTTTTGCTGGACATACCGCAGCACAAAGATTCAACAGTTTACAATGCCTACTACCACTATTCACAAAGTTTGTCCGTCTGCAGTTTCTCTCCAATATAAATTATTGCTCACTTTTTAACAGCGAAACAGTTCTGTCCCACAATAAGTTGTTGTCTTCTTCCGTTAATTTAAGAACAATCTAACAATTTAGTTCTTTCTTTTCCAACCAATGATGATAATAAAACAATTTGTGAGTGCCATGTTTTCAGGCCGGCACCCACAAAGTGCATGATTCTTCGCTGGGCAATCTCTGCCTGTACAAATGTGGAACACTAAACAGCAAGACATGTAAATAATTCATTAAGCAGTTCATATAATAAAAACCTAAAGCACATAAATGCTCTCACAATTCATCCTTCTCAGAATCACTTTCATCCTCTGTTGGTGGTGGTGCGCCTCCAGACGATTCGTACAGTTTGGTCATGATCGGCCTGACCACCTCCTCTAGTTCTTTCTTCTTCTCCTTCAAATCATCCACTTCGGCATCAGGTGTGCTCTCCAACCACTTAATGGAACTGTCTACGGCTTCTGTGATTTTCTCCTTGTCGTCCTCGTTGAGCTTAGCTCCCAGTTTTTCTTTATCACTGATTTGATTTTTTCAAAGAATAGGCATAGCTCTCCAGCTCATTCCTGGCATCAACCCTCTCCTTGACCTTCTTATCTTCATCAGCGTACCTCTCAGCGTCGTTGACCATGCGGTCAATTTCTTCAGGAGACAGCCTGTTCTGGTCATTATTAATGACAATCGTGTTTTTGCTGCCGGTGCCTTTGTCCTCTGCTGTGACTCGGAGAATGCCGTTGACGTCAATTTCAAAAGTGACCTCAATCTGTGGGACTCCACGAGGTGCAGGAGGAATGCCAGTCAGGTCAAATTTCCCCAGCAGATGGTTGTCCTTGGTCATAGAACGTTCTCCTTCATAGACCTGCCAGGGATCAGAGAACACATCAGTCAGGAATCACAGAATACATCAGTCAGTAACAAGGATAAACAAAGAACTACACTTCTGTTCCATCCAAACAGAATGAAACAGAACCCACTAATTGTGCAGAATGTTGGTGATTGCAGAATGTGAAGCCAAGCTTGACTTATCTGGATTTACAGTTTTCACTCAACTGTGGTAGTAGGTATAATTACCATGTTGCTTAAGTATTTCAACCCTCGAGCTAATTGTAAAGCTGCCGATAATTCCCCATCATAGATGGCCAATTTGTGGACTGATCCATGCAATACTGGTTGACCCCTACCATCTCTGACCAAGCTTTAGACCATGTCTGCAGGGAGGGCAGGTCAGCTGGTCTGATTCTGTTATCATCACCCATCATCAGCACCCACAATATACCATTCATAAAGTTCCTTTGATTGATAACTACAGCAATCAACATGTCTGTGTGGTGAACAAATGTATTCACAAACCTTTCTCAGGACTGGAAAGTTTAGTTTCTAACTGAAACACTGATGAAAGAATGCAAACCAAGGTTGGTGAAATAAACTAACTACATGCCAAATATTCTGTCTTTTTCTTTTCGTTCACCAGCTGAAAACTCCAGATGAAAAGTTCTGGCTGCTCACTCACTCACTTATGGACTTTTAGACTGGTTCCAGAACTCGAGTTTTGCATGCATATCCGTTTTACAGACCTGGCTTATTCATTTGTAGGCAGACTGCTTTTAGGCTGATGTGCACACCTGGCGTGATTTTTTTAAAACTAAATGCTTGTGGGAACACATTGGGCCCTGGGACCCATACAGGGAGCCAAATATTGAGAACGATGCTACATAATTACGAGATGCTCACCTGAATTGTGACTGTGGGCTGGTTATCTGCAGCAGTGGAGAAGATCTGTGATTTCTTGGTGGGGATGACGGTGTTTCTGGGGATCAGCTTGGTCATGACGCCACCAACGGTCTCAATACCCAGGGTCAAGGGGTTAACATCCAAGAGAACCAGGTCACCAGTATCTTCTTCTCCACCCAACACTCCAGCCTGGACTGCAGCACCATATGCCACAGCCTCATCAGGGTTGATACCTCTGCTTGGCTCCTGCAAAACACATACAAATTGTTACATAAGGATCATGCTGACAGAATTCTAACCACTATTGGCATTCACCATAAGACACGCTATGACACGACCAACTGGTTTGACTGTAAAAGTTGCAGTCACTAAATCGTGTACTGGTATCCATTTACAGCTCACACAACAAAAATCTCCGCACAGAACATGAATTCCACACAAGAATTTAAATGTGTATAGCAAAACCACACATGGAAGCAGAGCTATTCCTTTTTAAATTCCAAATTCATCCCAATTCAAGATAAAATACTCCATCCATACCACAGCATGAATGATCCCCTTTTACAAGAGCTCCTCTGTTAGATAAGTTGTTTGCTAACATCCTTTGCCTGTGACCCATCCTAAAGTCACACCACAATACATGCAATCATAAAACAGGTAACTGCTTAAGCTGGGTGAGCAGAAAGATGGCAAGGATTTGACATAGGCACCTCATCCATGACTGGCTTCATATAAACCTTGAAACATTTCAAAAAGTGGCAGCAACATCTCCTACGGACAACCATTTTCCCTTGCATGAAGACTATTAGTTCTTCCCTTTGACCACAATGGTGGCATTTTAGTGTTTTGCTCTCTCCACCCAAATTCTACAAGTATTTATTATAAACCTCTTTACTTTATCAACTTATAAGGTCTGACAGTGAACAAATTGTTAGATAACTGAATCCGAGCTCTCAACTGTTAACAGACCATTCACAGACATCTTGATTAGTCCATTTTTCAGCCTAAGAGTTCAGGTAGCCAACTTTCCTTAGTGTTATTATTCTTTGCTTCCCCCTAAAGTCCCCGTCTTCAACTCTAGCCCTATTACCGTTATAAAATTCTCTGTTTTGGACTCACCTTTCCATTAAAGAATTCCTTGACAAGCTGCTGCACTTTGGGAATACGAGTGGAGCCTCCAACCAGGACAATCTCATCAACCTCGGTTTTCTTTAGATCTGCATCACTCAGGACCTTTTCCACTGGCTTCATAGTGGAGCGGAACAGATCCTGAGAGCAAAAATAAGATTCCCATCAATCCACATGATACACACACAAAATTAACACTAAGTGCACAGCAACAGTGTTCAAAAAAAAAAAAAAACTTTCTTCTTCAATTTGAATTATGGTTACCAATATTTGCAATCATGATTTATAGCATAGGCCACATAAAAGCCACATTTCAGTTAAGTATCATGTTATTTTTGTCAAAGGGGTTACTGAAATGTTGTTATCAATATGTTCTATGGTACGGCAGTGAATTTCTAAATGTTAAGAAAATTAAACAGTTGAAATGTTTCTCAATCAATAGCTGTGAACATCTTGACAGCCAGAGAGTTAAGACTGTCTTAAAAAGACAAAAACAGAACACATGCAGCCACAAAAACAGTTTACAAGAATTATGCTAGGCGGTTTAAAAATGTAGCTTGGAGAAATATTAGAACTTATAACCAGAGAGAGAGAGAGAGAGAGGGAGAGAGAAGAGAGAAACTTAATGCCATCTGGCAAAACCAAAGTTAAAGGTGATGACTAACTAGCTAGGTTATCTAGAGGATTTAGACAAAACAGTGTGAGAAAATGTGGGCCCATGTAACAGAAACACATGCTGTGCTGCCAGGTAATGAATGACTAACGAAAACACAACCTACCATGTTGAGTTCCTCAAACTTGGCACGGGTGAGCACCTCAGAGAAGTCCTCGTTATCAAAGAATCCTTCAATCTCCAGACGGGCACTGTGAGCGGAGGAAAGGGCTCTCTTTGCCTTCTCAACCTCACGACGAAGTTTCTGGACAGCACGGTTATCCTTCCTGATATCCTTGCCCTTCTTCTTCTTGTACAACTTGATGAAATGCTCCATGACGCGCTGGTCAAAGTCCTCACCACCTAATAATATCAATCCATGCTAAAATTAGCAACAAATGCACACAAAGATACTCTGCATTTCTTTTCTAAAACATAAAAACCATAGAACTGCCATCTTAAACTTGTATCCACAAAAATCAGATCAGCGCAGAAGCCCACACTCAGCAATCACTATCCTCACATACAATTCATAACAAGCACTTCAGTCCATTGACAGTTCCCTTTTGTGTTGTATTTTCAGGTCAAACGTGGCTCCATGTTTCAGAGTGCCCTTTTCACTCACTTTCATGAGTCCACGTTTTCACTGGTGGACCCATCTCTTCCTCCAGAAACCATTACTGTTCTAAGCCTCCTTGGTGTCTGTGTGCATCTGGCAGAAATAGTTTTCTTTGGTGTTCAGATCTTGTAAAATATTTTTTTTTTAAATGGTTCTCCTTGATCCAAGGTACTCTAAAAACATTTTTTGCACACACACACAAAAATGAGAACTGAAAAACTGTTATATGCTAAAATCTCATGAGAAAATGTAGTTCATGACGAACTTAGCATAAACACTAGTAAATGAAAAGACCTCGCACTTCTAATGCCCATGGCATTATTTAGCAGGGTTATTTCCTCAATTTGTTATTTTCCTCAGTAACCTGTTCAGAGGCAATTGCAGTTGTCAGGACCTGTTACTGAACAATAAGAGCATTACAACGCTGTTTTATTTTAATCAGCCTGTGGCCCAGTAAATATTGCTTTTAGAGTTACCCACTCTAATCTGCAAAACTGCAGGCTACTATGCCTCACTTCCGGTCCCCGCATACCGACTTGGAAGAACCATCTAGTAACTTCTCTCAATCACCGCAAGACTGAGACATGAAAGATAAGTAGAAAGTGTCTGTTTGTTTTCAGTCAAACAAGGATTCTTACCCAAGTGAGTGTCACCGTTGGTAGCAATAACTTCAAAGACTCCATTATCAATTGTCAGCAGAGACACATCAAAGGTTCCACCTCCAAGATCAAAGACAAGGATATTTTTCTCGCCCTCTTTCTTGTCCAGACCGTAAGCAATGGCAGCGGCAGTTCTGGTATCACAAGGCACACAAAACACACATTTGAGAAATACATTTAGCAATATGTTAAAAGTGCACCAATAACAATACGGTTGATGCTTATAAATAAAGGGTTTTACAAAGAACAATGACAGAAGTTAATTTCACGTTTTAAGTTTGTCAGTAGACCTTTAACACTTTGCTGACCAACAATCTGGAGGATTACTGTCTCCCATTACCAAGGGTGTTTGAAGATTTTTGTAAAAACGACTGCTTTTCTAATTAAATTCATAAAAAATTTTTTTTAAGGCGTAGGGTATTGAAACTTTCGGAGACCCATTAGGAATGGTTACTAAACATGAAAACAAATATGTTATGCAAATATGTCACATGATCGTGGTGGCCATCTTGGATTAATTTGGCTTTTTATAGAAATTTCAGGAGATGTTTGAAAACCATCATCTTTTCCAGGTTTTAAGTGAATTTGTTCAACTTCAATGCAATAAAATGTTGGGGACATGGTTGGCAATGAATGAAAATAAGCTTTGTATGAGTTTTAACGATAACTTTGCTGACCAACAATCCGAAGCATTACTATCTTCCATTACCAAGCGTGTTTTACGATGTTTTTTAAAACAACTGCTTTTCAAATTAAATTCATAAAAAATTTTTTTTTAAAGGGTGTAGGGTATTGAAACTTTTGGAGGCCCATTAGGAATGGTTGCTACACACCAAAAAAAAAAAAAAAAAAAAGTTATGCAAATATGTCAAATGATCATGGCGGCCATCTTGGATTTGTTGGGCTATTTATAGAAATTTCAGGAGATATTTTAAAAACCATCATCTTTTTTCACTTTTTAGTGAATTTGTTTAACTTCAATGCAATAAAATGTTGGGGACATGGTTGGCAATGAATAAAATTAGCTTTGTATGAGTACTTTTTAAAATGATTAACCAGATATTTCAACATTAAAATGAAACAAAAAATTGAATAAACTAAAAAAATTGTATGTTTTCTTTCTTGAGTGTATTGTGTTTATGTGGTATGTTACATGAGGATTTGTGAATGTTTGATTACAAAAACACTTCTAACCTCTAGCTAAAGTCTGAGCTACTTCATTCATTCACTGAAGTTGAAGCTGTAGCTGTAGAACTCTGCAAGAGTCTTTGTCGGGAACGTTGATAATCCTCAACTGTATGGTATAGCTTGAAACAGGGTGTCAAGCATAGAGGTGTATTGCAATCTGGGCAGTACATGCAAGTCTGGCTCCTTTTACCTGCAGCCTTACACACTTTACAGTCTGGTTTGTACTTTGGCTTTTCATATTTTTCAATAAAATGGCGTTCGGTAAGTCGTGATGTTGTGACTTGTGGTCTAGAAGGTATTACGTTGTGCCGAAGAACAGCAGGTCCGATAAGAGCAAGACTGACATCCTGCCTGAACTTCTTAGCTGTTATCTTTTTTTGTAGAGTTGACAGTGTTGTAGCTTATATGCCCATTGACAAGAGCAGTCTCAACTAAAAAAATGATACAATGGCAGGTACCATTTATAGGATCTGTGTGGGTATGGGTAGTTTGCAGCAAGTTGGCCGAAGTGATCGACACCACCCATACTTTGGTTGTATTTTTCAGCCAGAACAGGCTTGTTGATAATTCTGCCCTCAGGAGCTCCCCTTTTTCTAACTGTCTTATCCATGACATCATTGGAGTGAACAGTAGAAATTAGGTTAACTCTCTTGGTATCGTGCCAGGTAACGGCCAACATGCTTTTATCTTCTGTTACACAAAACACAGGATTATCTGCTTTTTTTCAGTTTTAGCTGCTTTTTCTTTAAACATCTCAGGAAAATGCTTCCTTCTTTCAGACACTGTGCCACATGCACCAATCTGCATTTCTTTTAGCTCTTGAAATAAAGCTGGGCTTGAATAAAAACTGTCACAGTACAGAATATGACCTTTAAATTCGTATCCATCAAGAAGGCGTTTTACCAGTGTGGAAGTCGTCCCGACACAACCTTCATTATTTGCCTTACCAGTATAAATCTCTAGTCTAGTTTAAACAATACTGAGTTTTAGCATCGGTAAGCACAAATAACTTAAATCCCCACTTGGTAGGCTTCGCTGGCAGGTACTGCTTGAAATATATTCTGCCTTTGAACCGCACCATTGATTCATCTATGGATAAACTCACATCCAGGTGTGTAGTTTTCCCTGTATGTAGGCAATATGATGTCTAGTAGGGGCCTGAGTTTGAACAAGGGATCATACCCAGGCTGTCCTCTTTCATTTCTGACATCATTATTGTTGAAATGCAGATTTCTGTGAAGCAGCTGGTATCTGTTTCGACTCATGGCCCTCGAATATGCTGTTTCATTCAGCCAAAAATTCTTAGACCAGTAGTCTGAAACTGCTGGTTTACAGCACATTCCCATACCAATATGAAGGCCTATAAATGCAGAAATTTCAACTGCATCAGTGTTATCCCAAGTGAGTTTTTTGTACTTGGCACATCCAGTGTACTGAGACAGGTGATTTTCACCATACCTGTTGACTTCACGTGTGATCAAATCTATGGCAGTGTCAGGGAAAAAAATTTTGAAAAAATTAATCAGCAAAAATCCAGTTGTGTCTGACATAACACCTTGTTGTTCTTGGTATGGAGGAAGATTGTCAATCTCAACAAGTTCATTTTCAGCAGCCTTTCTCCATTTCCAAACGACATTTTCAGCTGTAGAAATATTTTGGTCTCTTGTGCCACGCCCACTTCTATCAACAGAAGTGCCTACATCACCTGCCTCATCAATTCCATCATCGCTGTCGCTACTTTCAGTTGCGATATTGTCCACTGGTGCATCTCTACTAAGCCAGGAATCATCGCTTTCAGCACCACAATCACTTGCAGAGTCAGAATCGTCTCTGTTACAGGTCTGGGTTTCATCATCAGACATGATGAAAAGGCTGTATACGCACTTGACACAAAAATTAACAAAATTTCACTGAAAAAAACGCTTGTAATGACTCTAATCGATATGAATCGAAAGTTCGGCCATCTTGGAACAATTAGAATACCCGGATGCAGTTTAATTCAAAAACTATCGGTAGGGACGTCGGTCGGCAGACTACAAGTCGCTAATTCGACGATCGTCGAAGTTGGTCACCAGGGGATATGGCCGGAAATTCGTCGATCGTCGAAGTTGGTCAGCAAAGGATTAACTGAGAAGATAATTCTGTTTTGTTTGTCAACAGTCCTGTAACTAACTTTCCTCCCCTAACATACTGAAACCAATCTTGAAATGGCTTTTGATCCCAGAATTTTGCTAGCCCAGCATGTGCTAATTATTAATTATCCTTCCTTCCATATTCTACCTCTTGTTCAACACAAACAGTGCCTTTAGAGACCAGTATAATAATGCTCTCTGGGACTTTTAATCAACTCAGCAATTGATTCCTGAATGTTACAAGAGCATTCTAGAAATAATGTTTTCTCTGTGTGTCCAGGTCCAGGGTTGTATTGACTGCCTTTCGCATTAGTCTTTCTTAAAAGTGGCATGTTTTTGCCTTCTTGCTTTCTTGAGGATGTTGAGCGGGCATCTACAAAAAATAATTATGTTTAGGTACAGTCCACTCACCCCAAAGATTTGCAGGAGTACACCTTTCTATTCACAGAATCTCAGTTCACTTGGAGACATAAAAAACATTTTTAACCTGTTATTTAGCAGACCATTTATCATGACTTGGCAAGGGGCTGTTATATTCCAGCGTTTCTTTATGGTTTCTAGTCAATTCAACACCTTTCATCGTGGTACATGACAAAACACTAAAAAGCCTTGTAACCGTTTCGAAAAAAAGCCAGAACCCACTGGAATCTGAGGAGAGGTAGAGTATATCCCTTTATATGCAGCACAATAACCTTTCCACAAATAGCTGTGACCAAAACAAAGGAAGGCAGTTGAGAAAAAACGACCAAAGGACAAGGCATGTGTAATCAAAAATTGATCAACCAATGAGATTAAATAATAACACTTACGGCTCATTGATGATTCTCATAACATTCAGACCAGCAATTGTGCCGGCATCTTTTGTGGCCTGTCTCTGAGCATCATTGAAGTAGGCAGGCACTGTCACCACGGCATTGGTAATTTTCTTTCCCAGGTAGGCCTCAGCAATATCTCTCATTTTCGATAGCACCATAGCAGAAATCTCTTCTGGAGCAAATACTTTCTCACCTTCGGCTGTTGTGACCTGAACATAAGGCTTGTTGTTCCTCTCAATAACCTGAATAGATAAGTTGCAGATAGCAGATATTTTATAACTATAAACAACATAATACTGAAATTAAAATTTAAAAAACACAAACATCGATAGTCTAGAGCAGTGTTTCCCAAACTTCTCTTGGTTGCAGTGCCTTTTTTAATTAAAAATGTTGCATGGCGCCCTGACATAAGTAAAAGTAGGATTGTCTCTTTGTTACATTAATTATGAAGCTTTTACAATATTTTGCGAAGCCCCTGTGAAGAGGTCGCAGCTCACCAGCGCAGTTTAGGAATCTCTGGTCTAGAGAAAAACCCGACGGTTTCACTGTTTTCGTAGTAAATATTGCCAGCCTATTCTTCTTCTTCTTCTTCGCATTCACTAGCTGTACACTCTGGCGTCAAGTTCTGGTTGTTCGTCCACTTCTGGACTGCAGTCATGCTCGAGAACCTGAGTGTTGCGTGTGCATCAGTTTTACAGATCTGATTCAATTGAATGCAGACTGCTGGTTCCTTGCCTCTCAGGCAGATGCATTACGACTTCAAAGGAAGCTCCCCAGTTAGTCGACTCTTTCGACATGCTTTTGGGGAGGCGGTGGGTCTATTCTTGTTTCCCCCACAATAGGGCCCCGGAAACCACACGAGGAGCCAGCCTATTTAGCTGGGAGTAAGCAAAGGCTCTGGGCGATTTTTCTGTCATGGTGTGTGTGTGTGTGGGGAAAGGGAGGGGGGTTGCAACAGGCATAATAAATATGGGAATATCCTGAGTGCAGGGTGCCAATTCCTGATCGATTCACTATAAATGAGTATTACCTCAACTTTTATCTTGTTCTACAGCTCTCTTCTCTCTTAAACTTGTGTGGGTCAGTTAAGGACCCAAAAAAAAAGGAATCTGGACAGAGATGAGCGGTAATTGTTGATTCCTTCCTTCCTTCACTATCACATGTGGGCAAGGTGCCCATCTTGAATTTTTCTCAGTATTTGGATATTAGCAGTGTTTTGAGATGTCTTACCTGCACGAACCAAATATATGACCCAATCTCTTGATAAAACAATGGCCGATACTGTGGACACTCTCTTCTTGGTGTCATTATTTCTAATTGTGCCTCTTATCATAACATCAACAATGTAGGCTATTTTAACTGTTAAACTTAGGTTGACAATTTAATGTATTCTTATATATATATATTTTAAAAAATGTAACCACCCCCTAGCCACTCAAGCAGAGAAAGAAAAAAAAAAAAGAAAAAAAAAACTTCAGAAATAAGGCTGCCACCCCCATCAATGAAGTGTTCTAGACAATTGTTCCTGTCCCTCTGCTTTCAATTCCTAAGCAAAGCCTAGTTTGCCTTCTACAGAAATAAACTCATTGTTGGGCATATCCAATTACTAATAATGAATAAGTGGTTAGACTAATGATCTCATCTCAACCATACCTTGAATGGGTAGTGTTTGATATCACTCTGCACAGACTTGTCATCCCAATTACGCCCAATGAAACGCTTGACGTCAAAAATGGTATTTTCAGGATTGGAGGTCAGCTGGTTCTTGGCAGCATCTCCAATCAGACGTTCACCATCAGGGGTGAAGGCCACATAGGAAGGGGTAATACGGTTTCCCTGGTCGTTGGCGATGATATCCACGCGCCCGTTTTTAAACACACCCACACTGTTGAAGGAAGAAAGCAAAATGTTTGTCATAATTTACAGAGGAATATATTCACACAAGTTTACAAAGTGCACTGGGTCTTATTAAAAAAAAAAAAAAACATTCCGTACAAAAGGCAGGAATAAATTCATCTGATGTCCAGTGCTTAATGGCCTAGGCAGCTATTATGTTCCAAACAATTTTATCCTCATGCTCACAGTCTGTACCAGTTCTTCTGTATTCATCTTTAACAGAGTTGCCACACTGCTGTGGTTTAACAGCTACATTGCAATGCCCGCACTTTTCTGTCCAACACATCCAATTTAAACAAAATCTAAAACAATTGCCTTTTGTGACATTCTTATAAACGAGCAATTACTTTTATTCACCACCCAGCAATAGGGCCTACAGAAAAAACCCACAGGATGTGCTTACAAGTTCAATTTTTCAACTGTGGCAAAATGTTTTCCTCTGGCTCCAGGACGGATCAAATCTCACAAAATAATACACACCAGCTAAATTATCACATTGCCTTGCAAATAAAGGGAAACTGTAAGGCCTCTGGTCACCTTAGCTCACCGTACTGTTGCCTATGTAAGGTACCCATCATCATTTTGTTGCCTATGTACGGGCATTAGTTATCACACCAATGTGTTGTAAAACCAGGACTACCTACTTATACTGGTAATTTATTATATGTGGAAATAAATGCTTAAAATTCCCACGCAGCTGCTACAACATAAGACAGTCGGCCATTTTAAGTAAAAAGATGTCTAACTTTCGTCGACAGAGCTCTGATGGACCAAGTTCATACACATCCACTAACCCTCCTCATGCAGTGGATATAAAATCAGCATCTCTCACAGATTTCATGTTCTTTAACTGCCAGTGAAGACAGCCTCTGCAACAATTTTCAGCACAACTTGACAACCAGTCCCTGCCACGCTGGTGCAGACAATGCCCGCAACAATATTCCTGTCAGCTCCCACACCCCTGTAACCTCTGTCTACTTACCCATCACTGTTAAACCTAGTATTCCCAAACCTTCAGAAAGAACGATTAGATGAGAGCTGTACAACAGTCAAACACAGACATACCATGAGTAAGTGGTTCCCAAGTCAATCCCGATGACTGTGCCAACATCAGATTTCTTCTTCTCACCCTCATCATCATCCTTGCCCTTCTTGGCACACACCAGAGTGGTGCTGACCACCAACACCAACAGAAGATATGGAGTCACCAGTTTCTCCATTTTATAATCACCCAATTTGACGCTCAGTGTAAATCTGTAAAAGTACAAATATATATTCATATCTTATAAATACAGAAATGGACACTGAAAACATGGTTTTAAATTTTTTTTTGGGGCTCACTAGAGTGATGATGGCAGCCAACACACAGTATGGAGTCATCTTACAACTTTCCTTCTAAGCAGTCACCGGCTGTAAACTCCTGCATAAAAGTTCTGCTCGTCTGTCCACTTCTAGGCTGTGGTCTTCTTCCAGAACTGGAGTTTTGTGTGCATCCATTTTAGAGATCTGGCTTATTTGTATGCAGACTGCTGTTTTTGAAACACTACAGACCTGGCTGATTTATCTGTTGACACTCCTTATAAGCAGGCTTTTATAACATGTGACAGAGATGCAGTGGGTCCAAAATAGAGTCTCAGAACTCACAGCATAGGTCGAAGAAAACTATTTGTTGAGAAAATGTACATAGCGACTACGATTTCGACAATTTGCTGTCTCTTCGACAATTTCCGTTACCCGGAAACCGTTCAAAACTTGTTTCGCAAATGTCGGCTAGGGTTTCGGGATGGGTCCTAATCTCTCATGAAATTTTGCGATTGGTGTGATTTTCACCCACTCTAAATAGCTGAAAACGGCGGGAAGGAACTCGATTAACAGCGCATGTCTACGACAGCCGGATGTCCTCTGTTTTTCTGTTACATCAGTTTGATTGAAAATAGCGATAAGGATTCAGTGTTGGCTTTAGGCTTTAAAAATTACTCGTACTGGTAATGCTAGTTATAAGTGAATTCTCCGTCCAATTTTACATTTACAAATTTCTTTCTGTACAGTGGCTTTTTAAATTTACAGTAACATTTTTTAGGCAATCGGTATGTGGCTGTGTCTCATTGTCTGCCATCTTGTCCAGTGACAGTCCAATGTCAACAAAGCCAAAACAGAAGTGCGCATGCGCAGAGAAAACCTTGTTTCTGGGTCACAAGTTTTAGCAGCTGCTTTCTACATCTCATCTCATATCACAAAAACCTACATATCTCAGCTCAGAAATGACATACAAGCCTAAATGAGGTACCATTGGAAAGAGATTGTTTACAGCTATCTAACTGTGCTGGTTTTATTGGTGTAGAGGGAATTTTAAACATTTGACTGAAGTAGCTAATGTACACAGTAGGTCTCAAGGTAACATTTCATTTGTCTTACTCTGACAATTCCCCTGCTCCCCTTTTTTCCCCACAAAGGGGCAAACCGAATACCTCAGGTGGGCTAGGATAACTTGTCACAATCAGATTCGGGCACCGCCCAGAACCAAAGGCAGGAGGCACCGATACACATGAAAACTCTGCAACGTCATCCATCTTAGCCAAAGGCCAAGTTAGTGTGAAATTATATTTAAGTAACGTTTAACTAAACCCTTCAAAGTTTCTTACATTTCCTCGCAAATCTGGAAGAGAGGGAAATAAACTGAAACTAACTAAGTGTAAAAGAAGTAACAAGTCAACACTGTTCAGAAAAGTTTCATTTCGACTTTTCCTTCTATGATTCTTCTGAAAATGAAAACTCAACCGGCTTAGGTAACCCAAAAAAAACCTGCTGCGAAATTTCAGAGAATTCGTAACCACCATCATTAAAACTAGAAAATAAACAACTTTACTACACCTAATAGAAGCACAGCTGTTTCTGAACATTCAAGTATTAATAAACAAACGATATTCGATAAGATGTTCAACAGATCAAGCGATCAATGTTGCCGGTCTTACAAATTAAAACCTGCCGGCCACCATTTTCTGTTCTGTCAGCCAACACCCAAAAACCAGACAACACAAGAGAACCCCAACTAAAACAACACCAACAAAATCTTCCTACTTACAATACAATGCAGAAATATGTCAAGAACTCGATGAAGTTGTTTAGCTTTAGCTCAGCAATATCTTGTCGCAGTTTTTCCTCTTCTTGTAGCTCGCTGTCAGAAAATTAACGGACCCGTCCGCCGTTTGCATTTATCTATTCTCTAGTCTCTGAGCGTGTCGACCGCTGATTGGTTAACGTCAGCACAACGGCCGTCGCTGATTGGCTGGACTGGCGGAAGCATGGAACCTCCGCGAAGAGACACGTACACTCTCAAATGGCGACCTGCGTAAGACGTTGGCGATTTCATCATCAGATACAATTTTCGGTTACTTTTTCGTCAGAAATGTCTAATATGTTGTTTCATCATATTATCTTTTGTGTTTGCCTAAATATAAATTCTACAAACGCATTATGATAAGATGCGCATAAAATGCCTGACGAGAAGCCAACAGAGTGATGAAGCGCGCAATATAAACCTAAATGCCGACGTGGACGTTTCTTAAAGAAAGTTTCTTGTAGTGTTTTTTTTTTTTAATATTTTTATTTAAACTAATTGGAGTAGTTCGTACTATTGCCAAGAGAGTAAGTGGTGGTAGGTTCGAATCTCCGTCGGGGTTTAATTAGGGGAGGGGCGATGGTCACCGTATACAGACCAAGCTTATGTCTTCTCTTGTCCAAGTTTGCCAGTTGTCACAACTTTTTCCAAGTGTATTTATCACATGTCCTCAGTATTTTGACCATCTAATTTATTCACTTTGCAGTTTTGTTTTCTGCAGTGAGTAAGCCTTTTATCTCACTCACGTCAGGGCAGTTCCACTTTCAGACTACATCGCTCGTTTCACGAGGGCCATTGTCTTCTCGGGTAAAAATGAGGGATTCGTTGACGGAAATCCGTGCTTTGTGTAGCCTTTGGGCTACTAATGGAAGCCACGGCAATACAGTGGCTAGCTCGCGTTCCTCTCGGCCTGGTTGCCATAGTTTCGAATGGTAATGAGTCTAGCGAATTCCGAACCCTTTTCCTCACACTGTGAAGGCTAGGGTTCCATTCTCGAACTTTCCCCCTCAGTTTGCAAGTGTCATGTTTTTGTTTTCTCAATTCATTGTCGATGAAGTTAATGGAACCCTTGCCTGCTTTGTGAGGTGTTTTCAATGTATAAACACCGGGTTGCTAAAAGAAACTATTTATATAAGATAAGATATATATATATATATATATATATATATGTCATATTGGTTTATTAATGCAATACCAACACAGTTTAGCTGGGACGACTTTTCCGTGCTGGTTCCTAGGCTAAACATTTTGAGCAAGCAGCATAAGGATGCGAGTCGTTAAAGAAAATAAAGGCTGTTAGACCTAAAATAATATAAACAGATTTTCAAAATACCACGGACAAAGAAGAACCGTAGTACTGATACTTTAACCCTTATGGGCATCAACGAAGCTAGCTAGAAAAATTTGCCTAGAAGGCTGAAATACTTTGGTTGTATCAGGCGCCACAGCGACATTAAAAAAAAAAAAAAAAGCTGAAGGCATAGCTCTAAGAACCGACCATCTGGGTATGACGATGCACGAGAGACCGGGTTTCATTCGGGCAGATCCTGATGGCAGCCACATTCTGCAAAGGTTTCTGTGGGCCCCAATAGGGGGAGTGATATACCCACGGCCTCCCTAACAAGCAGGTCATAAGAGTCAACTAGGGCACCCCCCGTGTGGGTTCCGGGGCCCCATTGTGGGGAAAACAAGAATAGACCCACTGCCTCCCCAAAAGCATGTCGTAAGAGACGACTAATTGGGGAGCTTCCTTTGAAGTCGGAGTGCATCTGCCGGAGAGGCAAGGAACCAACAGTCTGTATTCAAGAGAATGAGATCTGTAAAACTGATGCACACGCAACACTCAGGTTCTGGAGCAGGACTGCAGTTCAGTAGTGGACGAGCAACCAGAACCTTCCGCTAGAGTTTACAGCTGGCGAACGCGAAGAAGAAGAAGAGAACTAGGGCACTATTCTCCCCCTTCAAGTCGCGACTTTTTTTTTTGGGGGGGGGGGGGGGGGGGGCGCACGACCCTTCCATATGGGTCGCCTAGGACCTTTGAAAAACATTTTCTTTGCAGTTAAGTTGTAACGAAAATAATTGTATGTCACCACAGCTGTATAAACTGTATAAAGTATTCTTGAGTCAAGGATTCAACAGTATGTATACAAACAAGCCACATCTGAAAAAGGACGTGCACACAAAACTAGAACAAGATCAATGTCTAGAATTAGACAACAGCCAACACTTTCCAGCGAGTAAACATAAAAAACGAGTATTCCCAGTCCTGCATAGGAAAGTTAAATGATACAACTTGTCACTTTAGTTCAGAATATGATGCTAGCTAGCCTCATATTTCTATAGATCAGTTAAGTATGTTGTAAACATCCCTGTGGTCGCCTTTACTTCCCATGAAATTGCTTGGTACCCATTTTAGAATAGGTCGACGTTGAAGCCTAGGTTATTGCTGGCCCCGCCAATCCATTGGGACAGGGGTCTCTATAGCTTGGCTAGATGAGGAACGTTGAACCCTATTAGGACCTACTGCTACTATTAGGATAAGAATCACCCACAAGTCCCCTACCCCCAAAAATCATTCAGTCGCTAGTTTATACTGTATTAGGGCCACCCACAACAGAGTAGGACTTCAAAATAACCTCACAATCATTATCATGTAGCAGGTCCTTTGCAGAACGTCGCTCTCATCACTGTAAGAAACTCGGTCTCTTGTCAATTCTCCCGCCTCATGAACTCACACTCAAGGAGTCATATATCCTGTGCCCATCTTCGTGTCGGTCGGCCCCTGCTTCCTGGTACCATGCCTTCTGCTATAATTTTTTCCAATCCACCGTGGCGCTTGAAAAATATTTCGGCTTTCGAGAAAGGATGCTGTTTATTAGCCAATCTTCCTTGATGTTCAGATCTTTTAAGATGTCAATATTTCTCATCTTCTTTGTCCAAGATATTCTGAGAATCTGAAACATTTCAGCTCAAAAGCCCCTATTCTCTTCCAGGACAGAGATAGTCGACGACTCACATCCGTATGTCGCCACAGGGAAGATGCTTGCTCTCAAAATTGTAATGTTTATCTCCTTGCCGGTGCTTAACCAGACTTTTAAGGCA